AAGAAAGAAAAAGAAAGAAAGAAAGAAAGAAAGAAAGAAAGAAAGAAAGAAAGAAAGAAAGAAAGAAAAGGGAGAAAAGGAAAATTTAAGAAAAATATAAACCTTGGGGCCACCTGGATACTTTACAAGTATCATCTGATGCAACATGTTGAAGTCCATTTTTTCCTTTATTCTATTTCAGATGTTTTTCTTGCTTCATAGCTTTAACACTGCTCAAGAGTGAGTTTATTTCGTCTTATGTACTTCTCCATACCTGATGAAATGTTTCCTTCTGTGCACACAAATAGCCATCACATCACCATCATGCCCCAAGGCACAGAGGGCCTGTTTGTCTCCCACCCTGCAATACTTGGAACTCACTTCTTAGTGGGGTTTTAGGAATACTGAGTCTAAATCCAAGGCGTCTGGGGAAGAGGGAGATCGTACAGGGAGACAATTTAGGACAATTCAAGTCAACTTAGATCTCAGTGTTTGAGGTTTCCCCCTTCCCAGATACCACAGCTGACATTCACACCTCTTTGTGAAAGTGTTGTTTTCAATGGTAAAATGCCTGAGGGTCTTGGTTACTTTACTCAATAGCCAACGCCCAAAATTAAACAGGGAAAAGTTTATTCAGCTCAGAGTTTGTGGAAGTTTCAGTCCATAATCCACTGGCTCCAAGGCAGGGTGGCACATGGCATAGCGGCAACAGTTCAAGGCAGGGAAAACAGTAAAGCAACAAGAGCAAAAGGGGGCAAAGGGGAGGAGCCACCCTCTTTTCCTTCCTTATATTGTATGCAGGCTGCCCGCCCCAGGGTGGGTGCAGCACTCACACCACCAACCCCAGCACTACACAATAAACCAATCACAAACTCTAGTTTCAGTTGCCTTCCAAAACCCCGCCCCCATGACCATATGCAACTATGGAGGGACCTCCAGACACAAACTATAACACTGAGGAAACAAATCCCAATCAGGCTGATGGCCCTAAGCTCCAATTAGTAGTTATCAAGTTTTTAAATTCATAGTGGATCCACTAACATTATCTCTCCTACCAGCCTATGCCAACCTGAGTTCTTTTATTTCATTGATATCTGTATAGTAGTTTCTGTGTGCTTTTGTAGGTGCCAGGTACTTGTTCCGGATATGGCTTACACAACAGGGTTCTGAGAATCAAAGTCCTTCTTGTGCCCTATGTTTCCATTTTTGTGACAGGAGATGGGTAATAAACAAATAAGTAAAATATATAGATGGCCCAGAAGGGGTAACTCCTGTTACAATTGACATTTTACTATGTGAAAAATATAGAAATATAGAGACGTTAATTGCATTTTGTTTCCCAAAACAAGACTAGACTAAGTGCAGTTATGGTACCAAAAGGAAAATTTTGATTCAATAAAAGAAAAGAATGTATAATGAATACATTCATTTTTTTTCCTGAACCATGAGCATTTATATTCTATGAGTAATTGTGCAACCATCTGGGTTTCCTTTTCTACTTTGGCTGCTAGGAAACTCAGAGCTAAATTTGCAGTAATAGTAGTCGTGCGTGTCTTTCTGGTTTATATGGTTACACAGTACATTAAATTTTCAGCGGTCTTATTATTCCACCCTGGGTCTTCTTTCACTTTGATTTTTTAAATTTGTATTTTAATGCACTGATTTCAAGAGCCAAGTCTATCAACCAAGAAGTAAAATTTCCCCAGGAGGATGGGTACTTTAGATTTATAGATTTACACAATAAATCCAGAGGTTTGCTTTCCTGTTCCATAAATCTTTCTGGATTAAAAAAAATGGCAACTCACAGGAAGGCAGAGTGCCTGATCAGAAATTAGATAGTGGCTCCTCAGCCTGGCTTAATCGCTACTTGTTTGACGAGGGCTAACCAAACACTTGTCCGAGTAAAATGGGAGAGAGAGTAGCTTCTGCATTATGAAGACTCGTGGTGAAAATGTAATCTAAAGTAATTCATCTTTCAATCAAAAACTTCAACTTGCTTTTCAGATCCTATGGGCTCTGCGTGATTTTCTCCCAGCTATTTTTGAGATTTCGTGAGATGAGGAAGTTAAGATGACACAGAGTCCTGAAAATTCTTACGAAAATTCTGAGGAATAAATCCCAGTGCAAAATCTATAAATCATAGCTAATGGATGTGTTTAAGGAGACTAGGTGAGATACTTGAAACGCTTCTAAATTATTGCAGCCTACCTCTTTATTAAAAAGCAATTACATGCCTCAGATTGAAATGTGTGATTTCTCAAAGAAAAACGACCCCCAGGTTGGTAAGTGACAAGACCCATCGCAGAGGTATTTCACCCGGTAGCAGTGTGGCAGCTGATCAGTTTACTAAAGAGCCCTGGGGACAGATTAATTATTTAGCAGTGGAATAAATTGACAAGTTGGCCCGAACTACTTTAATATGAATGGAAACACCAGATTCAACAAAATTTTTCAGTAATCATTACAGAAAATAGGAATGAATTGGAAACCAGGGGTTGCAATTGGTCTAACACACGGTCTCCTTTTTCTTCTCCTTGACCTTCAACTTCCATTCTCCCCGCTGCAGCTCATCCAATATGGGCCTCCCCTCCCACTCTTCCTGCGAACAGATCTCCTCCTCCTGTAGCCTAACAGCTCCTCTCCACATCTTTGCTCCTCCCTTCCTCAGTGGAATGTTCACGGGAGGTGCAGCGACACAGCAGAAAATCCCACTCTTCCTGGAGCCTAAAGGTACCTTGGAACGGTGAGTATGGAGGGGTGAAGAGAATGATATGTGAGAAAAATAATTAGGAATCATTGCCAAAAGGATAGGCACAATGAGGTACAAACAACCTGCTGTGAAAACACAGATGAAGAGGCAATTAATTTCTGTCATTTTCTAGCAAGGGTAGGTGACAAATATTTTCCCTCTGCTTGTTCTCCTCCCATCTGTTTCTCTCACTTCTAATGGGGACAATTTGGGATCTGACTTGTCAGTTTCTGCTACCGAAATGTGAAGCTCGAGCATGAAATTTATTCTGATGTCAACCCCAGAAGATGCTGCATTTAATAGAATGAAAGAGCAGCTTAGAGAGCAAACCTTTATAAAGAGCAACCGCCCTAGTTCCCTGTTGCCTGTTACTGCGGTGGATACCCAGGACTGGCTCGTTTTCCCCTCCCTCCTCCAACATGGCCGTCTTTCCCAGGATTCCCAACGTTTGGCTCTTGCTGCCTCACCGGTGTCCTCCACCTGGCTGGTCTAGCTGCCCTACGCTTCAGGTCTAGACCAGCCTATGTGCCAAGATGACCTGTTTGCCTGTGTATTTCAAATTTAGAGACACTCTCCCGAGGTACTCTTGTCTGAAATGCCACCATCCTACACATCTTATTTTATGTCCTTGTGAAGGCAGAGAGAAGATCTCTCACTCAATCACCTCTCAGCTAAAATTGTCTCATCATATGTTTCTCTCAATCTCTGGCTGAGAGGAACAAGCCAGGGAGAGGTAATTTACTTATTCAGCCACTATTTACACAGAGTCCTACTTTACGTTGTTACAAAAAAGAATAAGACTTGTCGGGCTCATTTGCCAGTTGGAGAAAAAAAAGAACACAATCGTAATTTTAAAAAGTGACAATTGCGTGGACAAAGCAGCAGCACTGCCCTGGGCTTTGAGTAAAGGCTGCAGAAAAGGCCAGAGATTTGAGTGAAATCTTGAAGTTCAAGTTTGAATTGGGCAGAGCTAGGGAAGGGGAGAAAAAAATGGAATAAAGAACACTCTGTAACGGGAAGGGTCTCAGCAAAAGGTGAGGTGAGAACATCAGTCAGCCCCACGTGGCATGAGACACTGGGTAGAGGAGAGGACGGAGGGTCAGCATTTGGGAGAAAATGCCAAAAGAGTGAAAGAGAAAGGGAAGATTTTAAGACAGCCTGCAACTATTTCACTTCAAATTTTTGCCATTGTGAAGTTGTGTGAAAAGGCAAAGAAACAAGCCAGCTGAAATCAGATCAGTAGGACACACTGGGAAGAATTAGAATAATGGAGCTCAGTGTCAAAAACATCAGCATTTAACAATCCTTTTTATCCACTCCTTCTAGTCACTCAGGTCTGTGTTGTGTTGATTGCTATCCGCAGACTCTGAAAAGCCCGAGTTCTGATTCTATGACTAACGCATTGCTTGCAGGTACCGTAAGCACCCAGGGTCCCAATTTTTTGTGTTTCAGGGGAAAACATGAAAAAAGATGATCCTTAAGATTTCCTTTAGTTGTAAAGACTATAATTAGTCTTATATTTTAAAATAACTTCGCTGTTTATAGCACTGAACTGACACAATCTCCTCCTCTAGGCACAAAAGCATTTCCAGGTCTTGGCATTACAATCTCCAAATTTCATCATTTTAATTTTAAAAATAACCTTTTCCTTTATTACAAAATAATACATACGTACTATAGAAAAATTTGAAAGAGTAACATTGTAAAACATAACTTCTACCCATGGTTAACAGTTGGTCTAAAGCTTTATGAGGAAGTCCATTGTTTTGTGTAAGACTATACTAAATTAGCGATGCTTTATTCCCAATTCTGAAAAGCTTGTTTGTTTGCTGCTCTTAGAGCCAAGAGATTTCCATACAAATAACTACTGAGCATTTCACCAGGTTCAACAAATCTAGGCAGATTCCATTGTTCCCGCAAAGTCAGTCAACGTGTATTAAGTAAAAGCTCATAGAATGTGTCAATATAAATTTCATCCCTGTAACTTTGAATTAATGCCTTTTCAAAGTTCTTTCAAAGAATACACCCAAATATTAATACAAGCATGAACTTGGCGCTTTTCAAGGTAATCTCCATGCATTAACTTTAAACTTCATAATAATAATACTCTGTGGCAGGTATTTTGATCCCAGTTTTAGAGATAAGAATTGGAGGGTTGGAGAAGTTAAATGACTTTATTTCATCCACTTTGCCAGTAAAAGTCAGAATCAAAATTTGAACATAATACTGCCAAACCTCATAGTCTCACAACTAAACTAGCATTCCACAAACTATTCCCCAACTAATGCTGGTATCTAGTAAAATAGTGTTCCATGAAAAAAAATTCATTGTCGGTTATGTTTGAGAAACAATATGTTGTAGGAAATGAACATGTTTAACACAACTTAATCATTACTTTCTTCATCTTACTTGGTAGAGAAATTCTTTTCTATAAAACAAATTCTGTTTTGAGCAGCACATGTTAATTTGAGCATATAACACACACACATATATGTAATTTTTAAATATGAAATGGGTTAGGAATGGAAGTGGGTTAGGAATGATTTCAAAATCTTCTCTTCTCCCACCCAAAGGTACAGAAATAATGCGATAATGGACTATAACCATTGAGATCTTTAGGCCTTTTTCAGGTTCATCTCCAAAGTTTGCAGTTATTGTAGATTGAGGGGAATGTGCCTTATCTCAAGATCAGTGTCTACTTTTTAACTTTGTTGTGGATTACAGGTTCCTGAGCCAGAAAGAAATCTGTAGAACTATTTCACAGGAGTTTATTTTTCTTTATTGAGTGGAGTGTCAGTTTCCTCATTTGTAAATTGGGGGCGATGACATTAACAGGACAACAGCAGGAGACAGCACATTGTAGGAAGACCTTAAGTGTCTTAGAATGTAAGTCTATAACATAAAAATACACTCTTGGCTTTTACACATTAGTTATCAAACTCCTTTTTCTTTTCCTTTTTAACTAGCAGTTAGTTTAAATAAAACTGGTTTTTGGACAGTGTGTACCAGGGTTTAGAAGCAGATTCTATATTCATTGAATACAATGGGGGGTAGCATCTAACATTATACAATACCATTACACAAAAATACCTTCCTCCACGCCAGGGTGGGCTACAGCTATTGACCAGAAGTCCATCTCCTCTTACTTCAGGACTCTTAATTATTACTCAGCTCAAAGCCTTAGTTTATTTGCTCAAAGCTTACATCTTCAAATATCTCTTGATTCTAGCAGGTAACTTGGAATCTGACAAAGTACGGCTACACACAGTTAATTGTTTTGTAAGGAGATAGATGGACTTACCTATGCCAGGCAACTTGAAGTAAATTACTTCAGAGCTGGCTGGACTTATCCATACTGAAAAGCTGAAGGAGACAGAAAGCTGGTCTTGCCGTACAGCACTGCAGAAATGATGGGCACTGCACGAATGGTGCCATTTGCAGATAGGACGGTCACCGTGGTGATGAAGGGGACCACGCACTGAGCTAAGTTCTTTCCTGTTCAACCCAACTTAAATAACTACTGCCCACTAGAAATATTACATCTAAGTTCAAAGTATGTTTAAATAGTAGGAAAAAAGATACCAAATCTGAATCTTTTCTTTATAGCCTCAAGGACAGACACTTATTTATTGTGGACTCATATTAATGGAACCTATATGCCCTTGAATATATCCCTTTTAAATCTTTGAACAGGCCTTAATAATGTGTTTTTTTGGATTCTAAGCTTTTTGTGAAATTCATAAATACAGATATTATACGTGGTGAAGATGTCTTATTTTTCTTCATTTACCCCATGTCTTATTTTGTTATTAGAGTAGCAACTGGCTTCTACAGTAAGTAATTAACGAGCTGGGAATGTACTGAGATGAGTCTAGTACAATGACTCTCAACTGAGGGTGTTATCCTCCCCCATGTTTTGGGGTAGAACAACTGAAATAAGGTTGAGGGTCCCACTGGCTCCTAAGGGGCTGAGAAAAAGGTTGCCCAACACCTCGGAATTCACAACATTCTCCTACCCCATTATAGACTTACTCAACCCCAAGGGTCCACAGTGCCAAGATTGAGAAATCCTGGCATCGTGGAGGGCATTTTTGTGGTTTACAGACACTTTCAGGTAGAGTTATGTTATTCCCGGCTGCTGGGTGTAGACCTGGCTTCCAGGAACACCCTGTGCAGACTTGTCAGTCATGCTTTGAAGACGTCGGGCCAGAGAACGTACACTGTGTGGACTTGCTGGGTGGAACCTGGCCCTGGACATACGTGGACAGTGAAGGGAGAAGACTGGAAATATACGTGGAGCTGGTCTGACATCATTTTTCCCAACATAAACATGAAGTATTATTGAGGGAACAATGACTGCTCAAAATGAACCCTATTATGTCGGAAACATAGTAGTGTAACATGTAGAATTATAAATGCATCATGGTTTTCCTATTTTGGGTGAGAATCATGGAAAATTGAATTTATTGAAATCACATGGGTATAGGGAACAAACCTGCAGCAGTATTATGACACTCATGTGTGTCTGCTTTTACAGTCAAGGGTTTTATACATCCCAATGTAGAGGAAAGTCTTGGCTTGATGTTAACACCCATGAATTTTGAATGTGAAAGAAAATTTTCTAAGCTTGAATTAATTTAAAAGATATTTTGATCTCCTATGGTAGAGAACAATTACCTTCCCATTCTAACTATAGAAAATATTGATCATACACTTAAACATTAACTGTTCCTTTCAATAGAGCAATAAAAGTCAGTAGTACAACTATGTTAGCTATCCTGTGTATACATACATACATACATATTTTTCCCCTTCTTTCTTTTCTCTTTTCCCTCATGCCAATTGTTCTTTCATTCTGATTAGTAGTTTCCTTTCACAATGTCTATTGTACCTCTTAGATTTTATTCACTCTTTCAGGTTCTTACACTAGTGAGACATTTATTTATCTGAGTATCCAAATTGAAGATATCAATATGCAATACAAGAGCCATTGTTAATTTCCTGTCACCTTGTCTGAAATTCTGTATTGCTTGTATTGTTTTTGTGTTATTTTATAAATGTATGGGTATGGGTGAAGATGTTTTCATTCTTTTATCTCTAAAATAAAAGAGAAAAAAAAAAAAGAAAATATTGTGGAAATTGTCATATTAAAAGTGGTCAAAAGTATGCAACCGAAAGCCACACAGGATGGTGTGTGATGGTGCCTCCTAGCACTCTAGAAGGCTGAGGCAGGAGGACTGTATGGTCGACCCCAGTCTGGGCAATTCAATGACTTAGCAAGACCCCGTGCCAAAAATAAATTAAACTAAATTAAATTAGCTTTAAAAGACTAGGAAGATAGCACAGTGAGAAAGCCATGGGTTAAATCCAGGGGTACTGCCCCTCTATAAAAATATGCCACAAAAAATGCTGTGGAAAAAGTATAGAGGTATAGAAGGGAATTAACTGGTTAAGTAAAATTTCTCTTTAACTTTACGATGTTTATTTGTTAGCTTTTACAAATGTGTAATTTGTTGTGATTTCTTTGACCGTGTTAAATATGGAATTTTGAGAATAATTTTAAATATGAAGCTTAATTTCTTTTTCTCAAGAAGGACCACAAAGTTGTATAAACTCCACAACACTTTGATGTTCCCCTAGACACACATTTTATTTTGAAAGATACTGAATTGTTACTTCTTTTATTTCCTTAAAGACAATGTCTGCTTTTTGCTCATGGCTCATTTCAGAAAGCTGCCACATGGAGAAGTCCATTTTTGTCTTTTCCTTCTGCACTATCTTTCTAAAACTAAAATATTCCTTTCTATTTCCCTTACTTAATAGAAAATGAAGATGCAAGGAAAAAAATCCTATTACCTCTGTGAAACCTGCTGCCCTAAAGTCACAAATATAATTTATGGATTCTGGCCATGGTGGCATTCCTTGCTATGCCAATAAAGTTTATTGAAATTGGAATTAAAATGAAAAAGCTTTCACCAAAAGAATCAGTCCAGAGGTTGGAAAATTTTATATATGTATAAGAATATTGAATATTGTTCAAATAAGAATATTGTTCTACTTCTAGTCAGACTGTCATCCAAGTTAGCAAAAAGTAGTCTGTTTTACTTTTTTAAGCCAAGCTAATCATAGTAACATTTAAGAAAAGTTTCACTTTTATTTAATATTTTATGATCTAAGGCTATAATTCCATATTGAAATGGGAGTCCGAGAAAAATAATTTTTTTGCCCTCTTCTTGAGATTTCTAGGGCTTCAAGACTTAGAATATGACAAAAAAAAATCTATGTAAGGCTAAAATTACTAGTCAGGGTGAACATTATAAAAATGTAAGTAAAAATGAATTTAAAAGTGATATGAGTACATCGAATTGGTTGAAACATAAAATCCCACAGAGAAGTATTTGTGGATTGCTGCAGGAAATCTACATTAAAGTACATTATTTCATGTGGAGAGAATCTTACTGAAATTATAAAGTACTCCTATGGCAAAAAGGAAAGAACAACCCACAGCTTTATAGCAGCAGCCGGAGTAACAGCACACATCTCAAAATAAATCCCTTCCACTTTCTGAGGGATAACTCCTGCTAATCAAATATCTGCAAACATCTGGGCACAACTTGGAGCTGCTGGAACATTCTGGCCAAAGAGATAGAAATGTGGGCTGCACCAGGGCATGATAATATTTCAGAGATGCTCCTTTAAAAGCATTTCTAATTTCATTCAATCTCAGAATGCCCCACTCTAATAGGAAAACCCAAAAATGATGGGTATCAGGAGTCCTCAACTGCAAATTAGGGACTATTTGAAGCTAAAAAACAATTAGTAAGCTGGGTGTATGGGGACAACAGTGCAAATGAAGCATTTCTGAACTCCTAAGTCAACTTCTAATACAACTCCATACTGCATAGTTCTGAAGTAAACAGGTGGGCTTGCTGTCAGAGACTTTTAGGGAATATCTGGATACGTTGAACTTTTCCTTGCAAAATTTAGTTGAGAATCCTACCCATCATTTACTGTTAAGGAAAATATTGAGATGGCTCTACAGCCTTGATCTTTATAGAATAAGACAAGAAAAAGGATGTAGTCTGATGTACAGAAAAAGGTGATTGAATATTGCATGGTTTCTCATATTAAAAAAACCCACATTATAAGTAAACAGCAAAGTAAATGATAGATAACAGGAAGTAGGGAGGTGTACCTCTCTCAAAGGGGAAGGGGAGGAAATGATGCAGGGAGGGAGAGCAAGGGGTTGGAAAGGGAATAAAAGAGGAATTGAGATGTGTTATGTACACATACCAACTCCACACAAGAAGTGTAAACATGTACTACAGACGTGTGCCAATAAACAGAAAAAAACAGAAAGGCTATCCCTCTGGAGGCAGAAAAAATGTACAAGACTATGCCAGAGTCAATTTTTTTAAGTTTTATTTTGATCAGTACATTGTAGTACACAATGATTACATTCACTGTGGGGATTTGCATAACATCTCTTAATTCTTTTTATATCACTTTCCCTCCCCTCCCTCCTTCTCTTGGTCATTTTCCCATTTGTGGAATAGCCATCTTCCTGTTTCCTATTGGCTATCGTTTATTTTGTTCTTTATTTATATTTTGGGTTTCTAAAATAAAAGAAACCATACAATATTTAAGCTTGTGTGTCTGGTTTGTTTCACTGTACATTATCTTCTCAAGGTGCATCCATTTTCCTTCAACTTGGTCAAATTTCTGAAACTTTTCTGTAAAGTATACAATGTTACACATCAGTAGAGTACTGATGAAGATTAAGTAATAGTGATGTAGTTGAAACAATGACACATGATCTTGAAAGAAAGTTGATTTGTTGCTGTCATTGTTTTCATATTTATGTTAATCATTTTGTTTTTGCTTAACATTCTGGAAGCTGAGGGAGATGGTGTCAGCAAAATGAAGATAAAGACTCAGATGATTCACAGAATAATAATAGAGTTGATATTTGCTGAGAAGAGGGAACAGGAGCACAGCACACTAAGAATATTTTACCTGTACACATACGCAAATTACTTTGTGTACTCAGGAATTCTTTATCAAAAAGCCAAATGTAGTCTCAGCAAAAATCAAATTTTTAAAGAAAAATATTACATAAGAAAACCATAATTAAATTAAGTCAAAGCCAAACCATACTGAGAAAGTAAGTGTATATTTTAAGCAATATTCTTGGGCTAATGATTTCAACCATAACACACAGACATGTCTAACACCTTATTCACCACGGTGATACACTTTTATCATATCATTAATAGGTTTCTGGTGAAACAAAAGTCACTTGGGGCTTAATCACAATATACTGTTTCAGACCTAAAGATTTCGCTGTAATATCCTTTTCTATATGGTTGCTGAACATAGATCCTCAGTACAACCTTAAGAATAACTTGCAATGTAATAGGAGTACACTATCCTAACTATACTCTCAAAAACATTTTTAGTAATATATCTTAAGTATATGTCTGAAAGTTTATGATACAGTTCTTACATTCTACCCACCTACCACTCTTCATTTTCTCTTAAACTAGTAGTATTGACAGACACTATCCCATCTATATTCTTTTTTCTAATTCCCCTTCAAATCACAAACGTGGTCAGTTATTATTTGATGGTAATTGTTAATCTAAAATGAGCAATATATGAAAATTCTTTTCATGAATCCATTGCTACACTTTTCAGAAACTATATGGCCTTTTGCAAATGCCCTGGAAAAACAAACATTGCAATGCAATAATTGAGCTCTTACCA